AAACAAGGAACTTTGTATGTGCTTTCCGAGTAAATTGTGAATTTGGAAATTCAACATAGAGATCCACTTTATAATATTTAAATTCGTATCACTCCTTAAGGTCTCATATTTCAATAATTAGATAAATCAAGAAATATAATAAAAATGCTCTGATATTAATAGGTATTTCGATTGTATAATTTATATATTTAAACTCACATTAAATTAAATTAATATTAGATTTTTAGTGAAATTCAACATATATTTGTTTGTATTTTTAAGACGCTTTGGCCCTTAATATTATACCGTCATGTCATGTCCCTGAACGTTGTGTCATGGTAGCTTATATGGAGTGTACGCATTTTAAATCTCGGCGGCCAGTTTCACGTTCCGGTCGCTTTGTCTGCAAGGAATAAGCCCTTTTAGCTATTGGATAGGAGACAAGATAGTTCTCAGACCCAGTCTGGACACGATGGGTAATATAGAAACCCCTATTCTGCCGGGAACAAATCCCGGTTTTCCATCTTGGTGGCTGAGGTAAACACGCTTTGGCCAGATATTTTGAAAAGTTCATAAAAGAAAACTACATAGGCTTCTCAGAATGGGAGAAACAGAAAGTGGGAACGAAGAACGTTTGACAAAAAATGTAAAGATAAAGTAAAAAGTTGATAGAGAAAATAATGACATTTATAACACCAGTATTTAATTTCCGTTTAGTATTTGAAGTGAGATTAAATAACGTTGTGGAAATCGCGCAGAGAGAGCAGTTACCTTAAAACCGTACTTGAAGTCAGGCTCAAACCGATTTAAAAAGAATTTACATTGTTAACAAATGCCCATCAAAGAGCACTGCTCTCACACGCAATAAGCTCGTGAAACGACCATCTTGCGTTCAAGGCACTCACTAACCTGAAGCATCATAACCCTGACTATCGCAATTTGAAGGCAGCGACTGTGACCTGTTTTAAGACACTGTCCCGGCAGTATCATGAAGGGACTGAGGAAAACGGCAGAGAGCCTCGCTCTGACCAAGATTCGTGACCAGTACCTTACTAATATGATCATAGAACTAACCTGTTTGATGTGTAAACTAAATAACTGGCCAGTAAGCTGAAGCTAAGAACTAAACTTTAATCTTTAAAGTCTGGCTAGCAAAGCATTGTTACGGCGTACATAATCGGGTGCTTTATGCGGGAATAGGTCCATTGTAATAAAATGGGTTGAAGACATAAGACAATTCTAACTGAAACCCGGATTTTATGCACAAGCTAACAGAGCATTAAATTCTTGTCAGCTTTTGACATCTCGTTTCATGCTATTATATTGCGACCTGTCTGTAAAGTAAAGTATGAATAGAATGACGTCAAATATCACGGATTTAGGTGAATAGGAAAAACCGTATGAATGGGTAAGCAATTGAGATTTTTATCGTACACAGTTCTCGTTTTTCTCTGCTCCACTTAAAAAGGGTTAAAAAGCACAGTTCATGAGCCGCTGTCCACCCACGTGCAGAGTACACTCATATGTCATCCAGAAACGTAGTTAAGCCAGCTTGAGCGTACATTCGTTCGTCGGCCTGAATACAAGCCATTCATTCCGCCTGTACGTTTGTCGAAAGTAATAATGTCTCCTGTCCTTTTTCCGCGTCTTCAGACACCATCTTTTCAAGACGGTCCAGAAAGAGAAATACTGGTCCGGAAATAATCAGATTAACGGAGCATATTTCATTTGAAGAATTTCGTTGTATATCCAAAACATATACGAGCCTATTACCTTCAGATGTCAGTTTTTAAACATGCAAGTGTGCCTCAACATTATATTTTCAACAAATGTGTATTATTTATTCCATTGGTGCCCAAAGTACGTTATTATAAATGAGTTAATGTCTGTGACCAACCTGAAAGTTGTGAGACTAAACGGATGTGATTGGCGTGGAGGGACTGATGAAAACAGCGAAATACCTCAGGATATTCGGTTCTTCAGAAGAGGTTAATTCTGGGTGTGTCGGAACTGCTATTTGGACGTTTTTACGTCTTGGTATAATATGTTGTTACATATCTTAGGGTCTGTTGTAAGTCATTATTCAGTCCAGTGAACATATGATGAAATATTAAAGGACATTATATGTATTTAAAATATATAATAAATGCGTCTGATAAGAGTGCTGAGGGAAATATTTTGACCTAAGGTAGAGGACATAGCAGGAGGATGAAAATTTCAGAACGAAAAACGTTACAATTTTTATTTACCTGTTCTTGTATTTGTTAGTATAATCTACAGAACAGTGTTGTTTTCGCATATTAATTAGCTCATAGCAACCATGGGGACACGTTTCGAAATTAAACACGTCGTATTTGGGACATAATCATATTAATAAACTAATGTAGTGTTCAATTCCAGAATCGTTTATGTAAGACTCGTGCTTACGAAGTGGCACTGAAGTAGATTATTCTTCTGAGTTACTCGGTTTCCCTGTTAATCATCATTTGATCTTGCACCACACTCGTCGGCAGTCACTCCAGGTGTGCGATAGCTCTAACCAAGGAGCACATTATCATAAACTCTGTTTTAAGTGAGGGGCTTCGTATATGGCCCGGTGCTTGGCTGGTCTCGGAATAAAGGCATATTTATGTTGTTTTTCCTATAATCAGAATTTAAGTACTATGTGCTGCTCGCTGTTTTATATGAGCAAACACTGTTAAATAAATATTCAATATTTTCATGAGTTGCGATCCCATCGTACTGACATCAGAACCACAAATATCGTCTCTTACGAATTACTGGTCTGGATTATTGCAGCCTGAGTTTTCTTTACGAAATGAAAAAGACAAAAATTCACTTGAGAGCATTTTGTTTTTGTTTACTCATTTTCTCGGTGAGTGAAGAAATAAATTGCATCACTTACCTAGGCGGTCTTCTGGGTTACAAATTTGTACACATCAGGCACGCTTCTTGAAATGCACTTTTGCACAAACTGATCGACTTTATAGGTCTTCGCCATCTGTTATAAATTTAATTTTAGTGCTTTTCCAGTACGAATTCTGCATTGCATGTGTCCAAAATGTTAAAAGAATACTTCATTACCCGAATAAGCCGAAACCTTAACTAGCTGGCTAACAACGCCTGCCTGGAGGTGGCTTACGATGTTTCCACCCTTCACCAAATATTACGGCGAACATATAAAGGAGGACGTGATTTGGGGGGGGGGGGGTTTCGTATACTTCGTATGGAAGATTAAAAGAATGTATAGGTTCATAATTAGAATCGAAAAATCTGAAGGGACAAAACCGCTTTAAAGAACAAATGCAGATGTGAGGATAATTTTAAAATGCATTATAAGGAAACTGGACTAATGTTGGCCGGGATAGGTACAGGTGCTGGCCCTTGTGGACACGATAAAAAAACCTTAGGTTCCATAAAATCTGTGGGATTTCTTGACTAACTGAGCGACTATTAGTTTTGAAAGGAGGATTCTGCTTTCGAGTTAGATACGAACTTTCACGTAATATTGCGAAATTGCCGATGCATGAATCCGCGTAAAAAGCTTCCAAGCCAGTCAAGTATAAGAATGGTGTTCATTTTCGTGTGAGTTACAGAGATATGCACGTTCTGCGGGTTGTTTACACAGTTCAGTGGAAACGAAGCGAAATGTAAGACGTCAGGTTGTAATAGTGGATTCCTATTCTGAAAGACTTCTCCTGTATCCGACCCCCAACACTGAAATTTATTCCTCTGGTTTTATTCAAG